TTACCACCACTTTCAATGTGTTTCTATTCTCTCAGAGACACTGTTAGCAGCAAGTTCCCCATTACTTCCCCCATCCAGACTTTGGTCACTTTTCATCTGTCCTGTGCTATGAATTTGCTTGTTGCATTTTATTTCAGTAGAATCTCACAATATGAGTTCTTCTTGTCTGGCTTAAGCTTTTCAACGTTCATACATATTGAGGTCTGTAGAATTTGATTCTTTTATACAGTTGAGTCATATTCAACTATATGTATGCATCAATTTTTATCTGTTGATGAGCACTTGGGATGTTTTCACCTTTTAATTACTGTGAATACTAATGAAGAGCTTGACAAAGACCATGGAAAGAATAAATTAAAAGACACTACGATTTTTCCAAGAACTTCTGGAAATCTCTTCATATGGCTATGTATATTAGGGTTAAGTCTCTAAGTCCATTTTCAATTATTTTGGGCACAATGTAGGAATGAAATTACCAATCTCATTGGTTTAGTGGCAGAATTCTTGCTTTCCAGGTGGGAGACCAGCATTTGACTCCAGGAATGATCAATCACCACCTGCAGTATTTAGGCTTTTTATTTAAGGCAAGCGTGCTGCCATAATGCCAGACAGGTTTTTAAAGCATTTGCAGATTAAGGTGGACTAATTAGCAAGAAAATCCTCCTTCTGAAAAAAGAAGAGTCCATTAAAACTCAGAACCGCAATACTTTGTTCCCTATTCAATTATGGAGCTGAAATGGAAGCTAGATATTTCATTTAACTGATTGGGTAGACATGAGCTGGGGGCCCTGCTCCTCCTTGATGGCAACTACCAACAATGCAGCAATTATATGCTTCAAGTTTTTAAGCTCAACAGTTTTCCTCAATAGCTACATTACTTTATATTCATACAATCAATGAACCAGCTTCAATTTCTTCATATCCTTACCTAGTTATTTTTCATTTATGCATTTTTATAATTGATGATATCCACCCATAATGGGATGTGCTATCTCAATGCAACTTTGGGTTGTACTTTACTAATGGCCGATGATCCTAGATTATTTCATGTGTTTAATAGGCCATTTGTATGCCTTCTTTCTTTAGTGACTTTATTTAGGTCTTACGCTCATTTAAAATTTTCCGGTTTTAATATATGCTGAATATTAAACCCTTATCAGCCACGATTAACAAATGTTTCCACTCATGCTGCAGATTCCTTTTATTTCTTTGATATATTGTTCCTTTATATAACAAGCTTTTAATTGTGATAAATTCCAATTTAATTCATCTTGCTGTTTGTTTGTTATTGTGCCTAAGAATCCAGTGCCATATCCTTCTACCTCTAATTTTTTAAGGGTTTTAATGATAAGGGTGCTGGAATAGAGATGACTGTGGTTTTCTCCCCTCCCTCCTTTTTGTATTACATTCATTTCCTTATGTTGAACTGCCCTTGTATTCCTGCTCTAAGTGCTACTATCTGGTTACAGTATATTATAGTCCTCTTAATGTGTGTTGGAAACAGTAAAGTCTGTGAAAGCCGGAATAGGTATAAGGCAGGAACTAACTGGTTAGAGATGGAAAATTTCATTATTTTCTAAATATTTGAATGAGCAATAGAAAATAGTAAATACTAAAATAAGCAATAGAACAACAGTGAAGACAAAGGTAGAAAATTTTTGAGGCCAGGGAAAAACGACTCCCGTTGTGTTGCCAATGCTCAACTAGGTTTCACTCTACTGTTTCCTTTTTCAGCCAAAACGTTACTCAAATGGTTGATGACATCTGACTGTTAATCTGTTATGAAAGTTCTTCCTCCCTCCATACATCTATCACTCATCAAGTTTATATCAGTTCTTCCTTCCTTTCTATTGCTGCCTTACTAATTCAAGTCACCATCTTTTGACAGGCTCACTTCTAGTCCCCATCCTTTTAGCTACCCTACACAAGTCCAGAAAGTGATTTTTTAAATCACTGCCCGAATACACATGAAGTCTTAGGACTAAATCTATCACACTTCTGAAAACCTTTAACCCCTCCAATCACTTCATTTCACATTAAAATACTAGTTAACACATTCAAAGTCAAAAGCCCAAAATCAGAAGCACTTGGCCAAAATCAAGGTTCCAAACGGGTTTCATTCCCTCTGGAGGTTTTCAGGAAGAATCAGTTCCTTGCCTCTTCCAGACACTGGTGGTTTCCAGTTCTCTTTTGTTTATCTATGGCCACATCATCCCACTCTTCAAAGCCAGTATCTTTATCTTTTTCCTTACTGCATTTGCATTATCTCCACGTTTGTGTGTGGAAAATCTCCAGCTTTCCTTCATTTTAGTTCACGCTGGCAGTATTTCTGGCACAAAAACCTCATAGGTCTCTCAAGTAGGGGATGTTATGGAAATTCATAGCATTGGATAAAATCTTCCCTGGATAATCTCATCTTTATTGCTGGCTTTTGTTGAGAGGGCAGAGGGAATCTTTGAGTGACGTGTGCAACCTCTTCAGCACTTGTGTCAAGGTTGGTTGCTCAGCAGTCTTTCTTATAGAGCCAACTTTCATAGCAGGAAACCTCCCAATCTTAGCCATCTTGGTTGGATAGACTGAGATTCCCTCTATCAAATGATCATTTTGTTCATCTAACAGTTTATTCCTCAATTTGTCATTTTACAATAAATAGCAAACTGAACTATTTAACACCTAGAAATCTCTTGCAAGACAGACACAACTGGTTAAGTTTTCTACAGATACATAAAACTTTCCTCCAGTGTCCACCAGCCTATTTATTTCCCCTCTGAGCCTTGATCAAAAAACCTTCAACACTCATAATTCTAGAAATATAAGTTATTTTCTATCATGTGTCTTAAAATGTTTCTAGCTCCAGGCTGGGGGAAATGGGAAGCTAATGAGTACAAGAAAGAAGAAAGCATTGTAAAATTAATTGTGTTGATGATTGCACAGTCTTTAATATGTTTAACCACCCAGTGAATTATGGATCAATGAAGCCTAAAATTTTAAATATAAGCAAATGAAATATTATATATTAAAATTCTTTCAGGCTCTACCCATTACTGAATGCCAAAGCCACTTTTCATTGTATGTATTTACCAAAGTAGCACCCTTTTTCTGATGTCAAAATCTTCATTGATTCCCAGGGCTACTTTATCAAATCAGCACAATTGCATGACTCAAAACAAGAGAAATTTATTCTGGAAGCCAGTGGACCAAAGTCAAAGTGGCAGGAGGATAATCCGGAATACCCTCTAACTCAAAATCCTTAACTAAATCAAAGATTCATATACAGTAGCACAAAGATGCCAGGTGGTGTGTTGAGTTACGCATCAGGCTGCTAGCCTCAAGATCAGCAGTCTGAAAACACTGCTGTGCGGCTGTAAAGACTAACAGTCTCAGAAACCCAAAGGGGCAGTTTTATCCTGTCCTATGGAATCCTTGAATCAGAATGGACATGACGACAGTAAATAGGGCCTACTTATTTTCTGGAGTCCATTTTCCAGTTTACTACAATGCATTTTAACTTTTTTTTTTTTTAAGAACAGAAAACAGCTAAGATATGAAATTGGTTGTTTCGAATGCAGAATGAAGTTTTGGTTTGTTTTAAACTTAAGAATGTGCTACATACTGCCTGATACAATAACTTTTCTAGCAATATTTTGTCCCTCAAACTGTTGACAGGTGCATGCCGAACATTGCAAACCTCCCCATTTTGCAAGAGCTGGGAGAAAAACGATCTCGATATTAAAAAGATGAAATGGGAGTCCATGTGTGGAACAAACAACTAAATGCTTGGCTAACTGAAAGGGTGGCACCTTGATTTTCCCGAAAGAAAAAGGATCTGTATGAAATATTTGGCATTTTCACTATCAATATTTTTTTAAATTAAAAGTTCATTATATACAGAGTGATTAAAGATTTAGGGCGTACACTTTCCATATATTTTCAAAGGAAGTTATTAATATTCCAAAAAGCTTATTAAAACACTATCACTCTACCCCCTCTTATACTTTATTTACATGCTTATCAGCAACATTCTGTCATTCTACATTTTACCAAAACACTTAAGCTCTATCTCAAAAGAAAGGTTTATTTCCAAGCCAGTCACCAAAAGGCCCACAGAGCATAGCACACACAAACACGCACAAGTCAGAACCATCTTCTCAAGAACTGGGGCTTTAAAAAATAAAAAAGTATTTTTTTCCTATCTAGTGGTTATCAGTACTTTTTCTACTTTGTGGTTAACAAGGCAGCTAATGTGAAATGCTTCCTACAGCTAAATCAAACAATCCTCAAACTCATTGCCACTATTCAGTCAACCAATAGGGCAGGGCAAAGCAGGGCAGAGCTGCCCTGGTACGTTTCTGAGACTGGAACTTTTGACGGGATTAGAATACCCCATCTTTCTCTTAAGTAGGGGCTGCTGGTCTATTAACTGCTGATCTTGTGGGGCAACACAGCAGGCTACGAGGGCTCCCTAACTTCCATGTTTCTGTTTTTGCTTCTTGACAGAGGAAAAGTATGAATGGGGTTAAAAGAAACTTGGAATGAGGGTTGAGAAAATAATGAGTATTCCTGTACCATCCCAGGAAACAGGTACTACCCAGAGCAAAATTTGACATTCGCTCCAGATTAAAGATAAGTCAATTTAATTTATGAACTCTAAATAGATTCTTCTGATACACAGCAGCTAAAATTGACAGGACTACTTCCAGTCGAAAGTAGCCGAAATCCTTTAAACAACCCCCAGCCCCACCAAAACAACCTAGTCACTGTTTAATCCATTCCGATTTATAGCGACCCTATCTAGGACTCAAGACTGTACATCTACATGGGAGCAGACGCCCTCACCATTTTCTGAGCAACAGCCTGATATGCTTGAACCAATGTCAAGTAACATCCCAACACCTAACCTACCCTGAAAGTCAAATGATAGAAAACAAAACCATTTCAGAAACTATGAAAAAGAAAATAGGAGGCAGAACATACGTTTTTATTTTTAACTTTAAACTTACCAGTTTGGCTTGTGCTTCTGCAATTTTTCGGTTATTCTCTTCCAGTATTCGCTCTAGCTCCTCACGTTTTGCACGTTCTTCCTCCTAAAGGGGAGGACATGTTAAGATGTTAGAACAACAAAATGTTTATTTTTATTGATTCATATTTACTAATCTTCCTCTGAACTTTTTTGATCTGACTTACAGGGTAGCTTTACAGCTACCTCTGTCTGACAAATGATAAACTGTGCAGCCACTAAAATTGGTTTCTAGCACTAAATTTAAATCACCCCTCCCAGTCCAAACAGCAACCAACTAAACCCTCCCTAATGATAGTTTCCTGGCAATTACTACTAATACTTTAACATCACACAAATCAACAAGGACAACTACAAAACTGGATAGTATTTACCAAATTAAAAAAATACATAAAATATAAATAAAGTGAATATTTGTCTCACCAATTATGTATACCTACGTATTCTTTACCTATACTCCTTTAATCAGCATTAAAAGTTGAATATTTACTGTCTTGTCCAGTGTCCTGCAGAGTGTGCTCCTCGGCTGCCATACGCGCCAGCTTCCTCTTTAAAATGATTTGTACTGTTAGCTTGGCAATACCTGCATCAGCAGCTCAACCATTTATAAAGAAACAACATACAAGGAAGGCTGAGCTGAGGAATGCAGATGTTTATGGTAAGAAGGAACAAAAAATGTAATTCATCATTCCTAAGGCAAACAATTAATAAGAAAAATACATTTACTGTTAGTGAAAAATACAAATGGTAATCCATACTTCATGGAACTAAGGGCTTATTCCATGGGGAAAATGGACTTAACATTCAGATGTTGACAATTTCTAAAGGCAGCTTATATTGTCACCTACAGTCTGAACTGAAATTCAGGAATCCAGGGGACGCATGGTCAGGAAATAAAATTCTCTATTTTTTTCTTGGAGAATTTAATGAGGTCTTATAATGCAAACTTATATGAAGATTGCTTGATGATTTGGGCAGTGTTCAGATCACAGCATACATATTCAAATAATTTTAGTATTTGGGAAGACTGTCAAGAGGGTTGTGTCCGTGTAAAAATAAAAAAATTGTTAATATGAAATAAAAAGCAAATGAAGAGAAAAAATCTTACTATGATTAATAACTCGCTACAAGACAGCACCATTACTCCAAAAATATCTTCATTTTAAAAAGCACTGACATAAAAATTTCATACATTCAATTTTACAGAGCCTATGAAATCCACTATAAACATAGACATGTATAGCTAAAGACAGCACAAAGAAAATGCATTTTAGAAAGTAAGCTTACTGGAAAGCAAAGAGATTTAACATTATGTCAACTTGTCCACAGTAATGCCAAGATTAAAAATGACAATGAGTCATATTTTTTTTTTGGTCAAAACAGGTTCAAACCATGTAACTATAGGATTTCCTATGGCACACACCAATAGAATTCATATTCACTAATGCAAACTATACTGAGGGACACTCAATGCTATAAAATACTTTGCCTTGAGTGTTTCAGTGACTTTCTGCAAAGTTTTAGGATCCTGGAGTAATCAGTGCAAATAAGCCAGAAAGCTTCAGTAGCAAATTACTGTCTCACAGAAAGACATTTTCAACTTCTGCTCCAGCTGCTGATAAAACAATCATATGTTTAGCTTGACTCCAGACAAGGACAACCTGTTCCTTCATAACTCTCTAGAGAAAAAAAGGAGTTGTTAGTAGGTACTAAAAAAGTGGATGAATAATCTGGACATATTTCCTAAAAAGATTTTTGTAAACACGTTAGAAAAATAGAGGGTCTTATGATCAGAATGCTGGAATTAGTCCATTGTGTTGAAGCAGGATTTAGGGAAGGAGGTGAGGGATGAAAGAAAAAAAAAAAGAGAAGAAAACCTATTTGTCAAAAGCAGGTGCTGTCACTCAATGTTAGGCCCTGCTCTTTTTAATCTGACTGAAGGCAAAGAGCCTCTCACAGTCTAGGTAAGAAGAGTGATAAACAGAAAAAAATACACAACCACAGGTGGATTTAACTTTTCCCCTTGACCACTCCCTGTATCCCCCCACCCTCCCAAAAAAGATATGTAAGTCCTGCAGCCATGGCAAAAGTTTCAAACACTTCTCAAAATATGTAGGCCAGTTCCATTAAATCAAAAAGTGTTCCTTGAATATGTTTTATGAAAATGACTTTTAAGCATCAGTCAGCACTTCTGAATAGGCTAAAAAATTAACTTTCGCAGCAATGTAAGTTTAGATGAGAAAGGAATTAGATAGTCTGTATTCCATCTCGTTCTGAACTGAGCAGGAGGCACAACCCGACACTGAAAGTTTTGCCATGGACTGTCTCTACTTTCCAAACGACCGAGCGTTACCTCTCTAGCTTTTTGTGCTGCAAGCTCAGCTTGTCTCTGTCGCTCGAGTTCTTCGAGCAACTGCTTTTCCATGATGCGCTTTGCTTCCTCAACCCTTCGGAGAACTTCTCGCTCAATTTCATCCTTTCTTTTCTCTAGTTCTTCCTCCACCCTCTTAGCCACCAATTCTTCCACTCTTCGTGCTGTCTCTTCCTCGATGAGTTTTTCTTCTATTTCCTGCTGCCGACTAGCAAACAAAGTTGAAAAAAACACTTAGTTACAATGTACAAAATCTCAGAATTTAAATAACTAATTTTAAGTTTATCAAATCACTGAGCCTATCAAAACCATTGATTATCTATTTAAATGATTCTAGAATTGATTTGTATGTAACTTTAAAGAACTAACAGATACCAACATCGTCACACCAATTCAAGTCAAACATAGAAATCAGTATCAAACCAAACCAAACCAAACATACTACCACCTAGTAGATTCTGACTCACAGAAATTTTACAGGGCAGAACAGACCTGCCCCTGTAGGTTTTCTAGAGTAACTCTTTATGGGTGTAACCTCATCTTTCTCTGATGGAACACCTGGTGGTTTAGAACTGCTGACCTTGTAATTAGCAGCCCACTTAACCCACGGAAGGGCTCGTCAATAAAAATTCAAGTGAACATAAAATCATGGTTCCTTTTTCTCTCAATTTCTAAAAACAAGAAGAATGGTATATATATATTATATATATATACACATATACATACACACACACACACACATATATATATAAAGAAGAATGGTATAATAAGCAAATGTGAAGAAGGCTGATGGTGCCCAGTTATTAAAAGATATACCGTCAGGAGTCTTAAAGGCTTGAAATTAAACAAGCAGACATCGATCAAGCAGGGAAGCAACAAAGTCCACATGGAAGCACACCAGCCTATGTGATCATGAGGTGTTGACAGGATCAGGTCTCAGTAGATCAAAAACAATCATATTGTTATAAAGTGGTGGAATAGAGACCCAAAACCCATCTGTTGATAATTGGAAACTCCCCCACAGAAGGGACAGGGAAGGGATGATTTATCCAGGGTGCAATGTAGCACCTACTAAACACACAATATTCCTCTAGCTTTTTAATGCTTCCAACCCCCATCACCATGGCCCCAGTTCAACCTCACAAATCCTACTAGACCAGCATATGTATACTGGTACAGATAAGAGCCTTACAAATAGAATCCAGGATAGATACCCTTCAGAAACAGTAATGGGAGTAATGATTCCATGTGGGTATGGGAAGGGGGGGGGACTGATAGCAATAATGGATGTATAACACCCCCTCAAGGGGGCCGAGACTGTGGGTGAAGAGACACATCATATGGTCTAAGATATGAAATACAAATACATATATATTACATTAAGGGTTCACGATTGTGGTAGGGTGGGGGAGGGAGGGAATAAAGAAGAACTGATATCAAGGGGCGCAAGTAGAAAGAAATGTTTTGAAAAATGATGACGGCAGCATCTGTACAAGTTCGCTTGATGTAACTGATTTATAAATTGTTTTAATGTTAAGAGCCCCCCCCAATAAAATGATCAATAAAAAAATGGCAACCCTCCCCAAAAAAGGTATACAAATAGTTCAACTCAAATTTTACAAGAGGACAAGCTGTTAAAAATATATGGACCTGCTTATGTGTCTCCACTCAATCCAAGGGTTGAGCTTCAGAGCTATCAGGGATAATTATTATATAACAGCAATCAAGACTGGCTAAATTGCATTTTCCTCTAAAGCAATGATAGAGCAAGCACACATTTTGAGAGATTCAGATTGCTTTTGGTTAAGATATATACAAACTCATTTAGGTTTTGAACTTTGTACCTTTTCTATTCTACCTGACCTTTTCACAATTGATTTTCAATTAAAATCTCCTACAGGTTGAGAAATTAGATGAAGATGTTAAAAATTCAGTGAAGTGTAGTGTTATCATTTTAATTTGATTATTGTAATATCCTATGAATCTTATAAACCATCAAGATTAAATTCTGTGCTCAAAAATTTTGATGGTATAGTGGAAACCTTTGTAATATTGTACACCTTTGATAGCTACTGGTACATATTGGAAACTTAATATAAAGCTACCCACTGCCATTAAGTCAATTTCAACTCATATAGGGCAGAAGTTTTCAAGACTGTAAACCCCAGGAAACAGTTCTATCCTGTCCAGTAGTGTCAAAACAAGTTGCAATTGACTTGTGGGAAGTGGGTTTGGTTATAGTTATTAAGTAACATATTGGTATACAGTTTTTAAGTAACCTTTAAACACTCTCCCCATCCATTTCGGTTCAACTCTTATTTACTTATGGGGTGTGTGTGTGAGGGAGCTGGTCCAATTTCTACAAGTGCTTTCATTCTCAACTCCTGCTACTGATTCAGAGACATCAACCACAAAATAATGTCAACATTTTATTCACTTCAGTTTCTCCATTTCTAGAATTGCTACTCAAAAGTCTGTTTTCCTTCAAGTTTTAGATACTTGCCATGTCCCTTCTATCGGTTGTTTCTTAACAATTTCCCCCAAAACATTTTTATTTAAAAAGAAAAATGGATGAAAGCCTAAATTTCTTCTACGGCCCTTTGCCTTCTAAGCTGCCAATCAAATAAAGTATTAGAATCTTTTTAGTAAGTCTTCAATCTATAATAACTTTTACTTATGGAACTGTTAGAGAGCAGATACCCATACTAACAGGAAGAATACATAGAATCAAGAAGAAGTTACAATGAAAATTAAACTACAGGTCTAATGAACATTTTAAATATAAAAATGTTACTTTTCTTTTTACAGAGTGGGAGGTGGTATGTGACTGATGAAATATGCAGACTGTTTGGCCGATGGTATGCAAGATATATTAGAAGTCTGCTTTAGTACAAAAACATTTTAAAAGTATAGTCTACAGATATACACTCCATTTATGGATATCTTGGCTGGCTGGTTCTCATGCAATCAGTAATTGTAGAGTTCTCACATACATTCAAAAGCCATTTCAACAGCTAAAATAACTAGCAGGGCCACACTTCTCTAAGATTTGGTCAGGAAAGACACAAGTCTAAATAAATTCAAAGTTTATCACTTACAGCAAAAACTAGATCCTCATGGTGTCAGCTCTGTGTCTTTACGGTCAACAGATCAACACCAAAACATAAGAGATCAGATGAGAGGTAGCATAGGCAATGAAACCAACTCGAACTACAACCCCTATGTTTTATAGCCCAAAGGGGAGGCAGGTAGAAAATCCCAGGCTCAACTGAAAAATGGGAAAAATCAGAACTGGTTTTGTAGAGTTGCACTGACTGAAGGCTATGTATCTTTCTTTGTTCCTAGAAGAGCCATTGGGAGTCAAACTGCAACTAAGTCTTGTTGACATGTACCAATGTGGAGACAGAGAGATAAAAAGGCCTTACACTTCACTGTGAATCATAGACAGCGTTTTTAATAAATGGAAGGTTTAAGGCAACTCTTTTGAGCAAATTGACCAACACATGCTTATTTAATGTCTGAAGATGGTGTGGAGGTCACGCACGACCTTCTCAGGCTATAGGATAGAAAATCAGACATCCTGCAACCTTCTTTAACATGTTCTGGCACTAATGGTACCCCTCTCATGACACAGCAGTGACCACATAGAACTCACAGACAATACCCATGATTATGTAAGCTCAATAGGGAAGTTAAGGAGCCTTGCTGGCATAATGAACAATTTGAAATCCCTAGATGCTATGAGGGAGAAAGATTAGACAGTCTTAGAATACCACTAGGGCAGTTCTACTCAGTCCTACAGCGTTACCATTGCCTCTACAGCAGCTGAGTATTAGGGATGCTAACAGATCACAGTAAGTCAGGGTCAGAAAACACTAACGGTACAGACCTGCAGTGCTTTTCAACCATGCTAGCAGGCATGCCTCTCAAGTCCTTTGCATGTGCAGCCCCATGCTCCACCCTGCTCAGGAGGAGCAAGTGCCAGAAAGTTCCCTAAGGACAACCCACTCTGCAAGCCAGCCTCCTGACCAAAGGCACTCATGTTCTGTAGGCCAGGAGAAATTTGCCTGTAACCCAGAAAAATAGTGGGCAACATGTACAGTTCAATTAAGTGTGAGTCCATCTTTACTGATAATCTATTGTCAAAAACCTCAAACTCACTGCCATAGAGTCAATGCTGACTAATAGCTACCATGCAAGACAACATAGAACAGTCCCTATGAGTTTCCAAAAGGCTAACTCTACTGTTAGAAAGCTCAGCCTTTTTCCATTGGAGTGTGTGGTAGTTATGTAATTGTCAATTTGAGAGGATTATGAGTGAAGGGGTAGAGTCTAGTCTGTCAATCAGATCATAGCCAATGAGGCTTCTGTGTGGGCATGGCCTCTTCATGAGAATTCTGGGAAATCAGGAATTTCCTCCTTGGAGGTAGGAGACTCTGCTCATACCCTGGGAGACATAGCAGCTGACACATGGACCAACAGCGCTGAGATGTTTCCAATGCCACTGAATCCAAAGACTTTCTACCCACTGGCCTGTGATCTTCTACATTCGGCATCATTGCATGTGTTTTGTAAGTCTGAAGAGGGCTTTATAGATTGTTATCGGACGTATGGGCTAACATCGGACTATGGACTTGATCTGGACTGGGATGGGATGTTTTCTCAATGCTCAATTACCCTTTATATAAAACTCTCTCTTATACACACGAGTGTCCATGGATTTGTTTCTCTAGTCTACCCAGACTAACAGAGTGGCTGTTGGTTTCAAACTGCAAGGGCCGCAGC